TTATTTGACTCATCTGGTGATGCTGTCAATAACTTCAAGGGTTCTGACGCCTCTAATTTCCTGAAAAATACATACAAGATTAACACCACAAACACTATCTTACGAAAATGTACGTCAGAAGAAAGAAACATTCTTACCTGGTTTCTGCACTTTCAAAATGTGTTCCAAGGATGTCTTCCTGTACAACATGAAAGAACAATCTGTAAAACTTATGCAACTTAAATCAATTTGAATGAATTTTTTATTAAATCACAAAGCACTTACAGAAATATCCATATTTGACTTCCATGATTCTGAATCGCCCATAACTTCATCGATACTGCAAGAAAATCATAGATTATTAAAAACTGTTTACACAATTTTTCAGTGCATTGGCAATGAGAAATGTACTTGCCTCTGCTTCAGAATTACTAACTCTTCCGAATCGCTAGATGTTTTAATGCCATTTGGTTTCTTCATAGCTTGGCTTCTCGCTAATAGCTTGCTCCACCTTGATAGCAAAACTCTTGCCCTGTTTGATATGTCTGATCTTCAAATCAGATAAAATGAGATTCAAAAATTTCATGGTTTATAAAAAAATGACAGATAAAGCAATATAGAAATGCTTATTATACAAAAGAATCTTGCCAGACATAAAACTAAGATGAATGAGAAGAAAAATGTCATGGTGTATAGTAAAATACAGCCGAAGCACCTAGAGAGTTACTTCTACTAAACAAAGTTTAAATACATCAAAGAAATAGAATTATCAACACATATGGAGAACCTTGATTTATTGAGCAAAAACAAGTTTAACCACACAGAGATGACACGAAAGAAGAACTTGAGAAAGACAAGGGAAGATAGAGAGAGGTGACAAAGAAAGCCCCAAAGAACTATCCGTAACAAATGCACACCTGGTGTCCTGTAAAACCGCAGTCGATTAACACTTTGCAGTACGGCTGACATATGCAAAGGAAGAGCTTTATGAAGAGGCAAATGACAAAGAACCTGTGCAGCCGGTAATTATTTGAATTTTAAGCAACAATCATTAACTGTGGAAGATAGATAATTGACAATATGGATTCCAGTCCAATAAATACCTTTAAGATAACAAGTAGAACACTTGTTTGTTCTTCGACAGCAGCTTCACTCAACCATGTTACTAAAATAATTACACCACCATTAGTTAAAAACCTGCACGTATACAAGTGGAAGTTTGGAACATGAAAAGAGACAAACTGCTTTGTACTATGAAACCTATAAAGTGATTTGTAAGTACCAACATAATACTGAAGAATTTTGTATCCGCATAATCCACTCCATCAGTTTCACTTGCCCAGAAAATGTTTCTTCTTTCCGCATCAAGTTGAAAATATCTTCTACGAAACGTTTATCTAAGTCGTCTAATCCAGAAAGAGCATTATCTTGCGTTGAGCATGATGGTGCGTCGTCAACAGTGGAGGGACCAACAGAGTTCAAGGGAACTGGATCACTTGGAATCAAAGAATCAGGGCTTGTTGAGACCCCATCCCGCAAATCTTCATGTTCACCGGATTTCAAGGCCTTTTCCCTTGACAACTGGACTAGTTTTTTGACTCTCGACCGTTGACTGTTAAAGAAATCACGAACCTGTCAATCAATGGAACTCATGTAAGAAGCAATTAAACTAATCACCACCAAAGAGCAACACAGAAGAAAACGTCATGTTGGGTATGTATAATCAACCCTAAAATAGCCAATAGTAAAGTGTAAGGGCCATATATCATTATCAGTTTGAACAACATTGGCGCTCATGGGAAGGGTCGTATGATGGCTTAAACTAAATGCATTACGAAAACATCTAAAGGAACAAGTAATTTGAGAAGGAAAGCTGAATGAAAGAAAGAACCTGTGTGACTGTAACGCCGAATAGAGCACTGAGCTCCCGAGATTCCTTCTTACTAATCGTATCTTTAATCGAAAAAATAGATTGCATATACTTTATAGCCTTTGGATTTAACAAATCTCTAGGTCTTTTTCCTGCAATTGGACCATCTAGTTATTAGATAACAGATGATGGCCACATGAAACAAACACGAAAAATGTATAAAAAATTGTGAATAGAAAACTATAGCATCCAGATGGGTATATAGCATCTCACATAATCAAACTAAATAAAGCAAATTAAACAAGATTAAACATCAAATTAGCCATAATTAACAATAATAATCCAACTTCCAAGACTTACCAATCTTAATTGAAAGAGCACCAGCTGCCTGCGTGTCACAAAACGAAAGAACAAAAAATTAGAATTACGGATTGCAATTTTCTTTCAAATTTTCCTCCAATTTCTCGGAAACCAAACACGCAGAACGCAAATTCAAATTCAAATTCAAATTCGAAGACAACGCACCATTTCTTGGGAGAGAGGATTGACGCCGGTGAGTTTGCATTGGGTGCCGACAATTCTCTGGAGCTGATCGATCTGGCTGTGGAAAAGCTCCCTCTGAGAGTCCAAGAACTTCCCGAAGGACTCCGCGGATGTCCCAATCTCCATCTCCACCGAGAGATTCTCCATTGCCGACCTCCAAGCTCGAACTTCTGAAGCTAAATGCAGCACATGAAGAATTCGAATACAGCTATGAATCGCTGGGAGTTTGGGATAGAGTTAGGGTTAAGGCTTCGAAGAGAGGGGAGAGAGAGAGAGAGAGAGAGAGGGAAAGGGTAGAAGCGTAGGAATGTAAAACCCAAAATGTCCACGTCGCACGAGCGCTTGTTACTTGTCACAATTGGCGCGTGTATTTTTCGGGGCCGGTTCGTGGGTTCTGCGCTTAATTACTCTCAGGATTCGGTTAGTAATTGAATCGTGTTCAATTTGAAAGTAACAAAGTGAGACGCATGTAGAAATTTCTTCTAGGACAATTAAAAATAATTAAGAAAATCTTATTATAATATGGTTATACGCAATATAATATTAAGAATAGTTTCAAACGATAATGTATCACAATTCTAGTTTTACAAAAATTTCAATATAGTATTAGAAAGTAACAAAGTGATGAAAAAAATTTAAGTACATGATAGGCGAGAGAGGGTTTTTTCGGTTTGAATAACATAACAAGAGCATTATTGCTCATATAATATTTGATATGGAGTATAAGTAGAATGAATGTATGTTAGATATTGGATACATATATTTTTTTCAAATATAACCCATGTATATTATATAATTGTAGTTTGCAACTAAACAAACCAATTACTTAAGTGGGGGCATCTGCCCTCAGTGAGCCTTCATTGCCTCCGTCCATGTGAGTAACGAGTAAGAATTTGTCTTTAAGAGGGGAACAACAATTGAAAATAGTTGCTAATACTCTGTAAGCTGAGGAGCAAAAGGAGGAATCCGCCTGAGGAAAGGCTTGAGTCTTATTAGCTGGTTGGTGTGGACTCGAACTGTCGACATCCATCACATAGTAAACTACCGCCTCTCAGACCCTAACTGATTTATCATAGAGGCCAACAATAGACAATAACTCCCCCTCCCTCCCCCCCCCCCCACAACACAGCTTACAACTTCATTGTATTGTGCTCTTATATGTGTGTTCTAGACTTGAAATCAGCACGTTTAGTTAATTATAGTCGTATCTCTTCCTATGAATATGATTTCTCATGTGATGATCAATTAGTCAGCTCAAAGTGAGTGCGTAACCTTACCAACTAACAAGAACTAGTATTAGGACGATTCACATTGGGGGTTATTACTAATATGCGTAAAGCTTGAAAATATCACATGTAAGGGAATGTTTAGTTATAAGGAATGAATTTGTAATGAGTATAGTTATAGCCTTTTACTAAAACTAAGGTAACTAGTGAATCAACAAAAAAGTGGATCCTACATGGATTTTGGTTCGAAATACCTAAAAACTAGAGGTATCTCCTTAACATAGAAGGATGTGATTATTCCATAGTCAATATTTCTAATCTCTAATCCTTCTTATTCTCATTTATTCTCGTACACATAGCAGAGTTGTAAGTTGGACTGAAAATTCCAAATCAAACGAAAATTTTCGTTTCGAATCTAAACATTTCCTATTCTGAAAATTTTCAAAAGATTTAGATGATAATTGAAATATACATAAAGCCATAAGCCTTAGCACATAAAGCCTATAAAATGTTCGGGTTTTATGTTCCAAAACTTGCTCTGCTATTCTACCCTAGTCTGGTTGAGGAAGAATTACGAGGTGTAAAACAAAAAAAATATGCTTGATTCTCTAAAAATCTACTTATCTTCAATCAGAATTTTAATAGAGTTTATGATATTTTGAAAAAAAAATTGAGAGATTTTGTTCTGTACTTTTTAAGCAGTGTTGAATTTCACTTTTCTTCTGAAAATTTGACAAATTCACTCAAAGTTTTAAGTAAGGTCAATAGAAATTTTAAAATTTGTTAAGGGAACTTTAATGAAAAGCTTCCGGTACTGTTCATTTTAACAAAAAACCACATTTTTACATTAAAAATTCAATCATTGTACTATTCACTTTACCCTTTATTTTGTCCTTATCGTTAAAATTCAAAATTTTCAAGTTTTTTTTATTAATTTTCCTAAATTTTAGTAAGTTTATAATTTTATAGATTTTGATGGACTTTAAGCAAAGATTTATAAATACATTTAAAATCCCTCAAAATACAACTGTACACTCTTATCTCTTTGGAAAAGGATCCTCCTCGGATTTTTTCCTGGATATCCGTGATCTCTTCCGTTCATCGTACATCGTATAGTTAAAAATCATTTCAAAATTTAAAATTAAATATGAGTAATACTGAACGAAAATTGACCGCATGATATACAATAAACGGCGAGATGATGGGATACCTTGGAAAAATGAACTTTAACGAAAAACATCCGGTACTGTTCACTTTAACGAAAAACCACATTTTTACACTAAAAAATCAATTCTTATACTATTCACTTTACCATTTATTTTGTCTCTATCGTTCAAACTCAAAGTTTGATTAGTTCCTTTGGAAAAATATCTGGCTAGAATCCTTTCCTTATCACTCTATCGTCCTGCCACTATTTCCTCTTCGCGATTTCCAGGGATTGCATCTGGGATTTTTCCTAGCTCTCTCGATTCTCCACCCGACGCCCTCTGTCTCCCCGATTAGGGGTTTCCAGGTTTGTTTTACTGGATCACAGTAACCCTTTGCGGTTCGAGGTCCGAGTCAGCCCGACCCATCCTTAATCTCCTCAAGACCGAGCGAGTGATTGATCAATGGCATCACAATCTGATCACAAGGCTGCGATAATCGATGGGAAAGCTATAGCTCAGACCATCCGAAATGAGATTGCGGAGGAAGTTCGTCATCTGTCCCAGAAATACGGCAAGGTTTGCTTTTGCTCTGGCTGGATTTTTGACATTGTTTGGTGCATGAATCTTGACGATGCGATTGTGTGATTGTTTAGGTTCCGGGACTGGCAGTGGTGATAGTTGGGACCCGGAAGGACTCCCAAAGCTATGTGAGCATGAAGCGAAAGGCGTGCGCTGAAGTTGGGATCAAATCTGTGGACATTGACCTCCCGGAGAATGTGTCCCAAGACGACCTCATTGCCAAAGTTCACGAATTGAATGCTACTTCTGATGTACATGGTTAGTTGAATGAATGATAATTGCCCAGTTTTTACTTTTGAGTTGACAAATGATTCTGATGGAAGACCTGACACAAAACCGAGCGAAATGGCGTTGTAGGATTCATCCAGCCGACCCTACTTAGCGGATAAGGCTTGGTTGTTGTTGTTGTTATAGTTGACAAATTATTTGGAAAATCTTTGATTTAGGTTTAATGGGTTTTGAAAGTAGGTTTGATTTTGTTGATAGGTATACTAGTTCAGCTCCCATTGCCAAACCATATTAATGAGGAGAAAGTGTTGAGTGAAATCAGCATCGAGAAGGATGTTGATGGCTTTCATCCTCTCAACATCGGCAAACTTGCAATGAAAGGCAGAGAACCTCTGTTCCTTCCTTGCACTCCCAAGGCAAGACTCGAGTTTGTATTCAAACATAGATAGATGCTGACGCACACACATGTACGTTTGGTATGTTCAAGTATACTGTCAAACGCGGAACCTTTATTGTCCAAGCAATATTCACATAAAATCGTGAAAGCCATGCATGTACAGGTTGTAGTTTTGTTTTGTAATGGTTTTTTTCTGCAGGGATGTCTTGAACTTCTGTCGCGGAGTGGGATAAGCATAAGGGGGAAGAAAGCAGTGGTTGTTGGCAGAAGTAACATTGTTGGACTACCAGTTTCATTGCTTCTTTTGAAAGCAGATGCTACTGTTACCGTAGTCCATTCCCGCACACCTGATCCAGAGAGTTTCATCTGTGAAGCGGACATTGTTATTGCTGCAGCAGGACAGGCAATGATGGTAGGCAATTCATAGATTATAGTTCCTTGGTATGCCGTAACATTGTCTTATGACATGCCGGTGTTATCTTATTTTATATTGCTTGGCTTTCGATGAAAAATTAGTACTTAGTTTTGTTCTGGTGAGAAGAATAGGACTAGTTGTTTGGTTCCATTCATCCCAAGTGAAGGAAAAAGGATATTCCATCGTTCAATTTGGAGTTGTAAGACAATGCATTAGAAATTTATAAGCTTTCATTAGAATAACCGACTTCTGCTGCTGCAGCTAGCATTGTGTCGGTTCTGCACTTTCCTTGTCTTCGTTAGCTCCCGTGGCGATTATTGTTTATGTTTTAACTCGATGAAATCTATTTACCATCAATTTTGTTAATCTATTTCTTGACTGAATTTCAGATCAAGGGTAGTTGGATAAAACCCGGTGCTGCTGTCATTGATGTCGGCACAAATGCTATAGACGATCCGAGTAGAAAGTCGGGCTATAGATTGGTTGGAGATGTAGATTTCCAGGAAGCATGTAAGGTAGCCGGATGGGTAACTCCTGTTCCTGGTGGCGTCGGACCAATGACGGTGGCAATGTTGCTCAAGAACACTTTGGATGGTGCTAAGCATGCTATTGCGCAATAAAGCCCCCCCTTGTCCTTTGATCCCTTCATAATAAGCTGCTGCTCAAGAACACTTTGTATGTTATCTATATTAAGGGAGAGAGACACAACAAATGATATAATCTACGCTAAAAGATAGGGGGTATGCTTAGCCTTATAATGGGCAATAATGTGGTTCAAATTTAATTTTTGTGAGAATCGAACCTAAAACATTTTACTTACAAGTGAATATGAATATCATTAGATCATCGTACTAAGTGATAATAACTTGTTGTCTTTGTGTTACATTGAAAGTCCAATAACCGAACGAGAATTGATGAGTTGATAAAGATAGTTCTCTTTGCTAAACTAAAAAAAGGGTTAAAAAAAAGTCCAACAAATCTTAAAGTTTGATGAGCATCAAGACAATGATTAACTGCCAGAAATAATTTGATTGACAGTTAATTAACCAGAATCCTTCTGAATTTTATTTTAAATTATATCTGTTATTGTCAAGTTCTGTCATCTCAATTTATCACTAACTTGCAAATATTTGATTAAATACATTTCCAGCCTAGCTACCGACGATCTTCAAAGAACGCTTTTGCTCCTTTTGAACATAAGCATTTAGAATAACCCGTTTACCATCCGATTAGAAAGCTTTTTCTTAGTCTTACGCGTTTTCTCAATGAGATTATGTTATGTTGATCAAGTTATTAATTACGTACCTGAAAAATCATAGTTCAACCATTGAGATGGATGTGCGTCCAATCGGAGTTGTTTAACAATTCGTTGAACCTTGGAAGTCATCTTCTCATTTTTGTATTGTATACTCATTTCTCTTCAGGGAAATTGGCTACTACCGATATATATACAAACTGTCTTATTTTTACCTAATCTGAATACATGCCTTATTCCTTGCTTGACCATTGATAAGTTAAGTTGGACATATGTCTAAAGTATATCTTCAATCAGAGTACCTGCATTTATACTTATATATGTCCAACTTAAACCTCTCATTGGACAAACAACCGGTTAGCCATGTGTTGCATAGTATATACTAGGAATAGTGTCTGCGCGTTCTGCGGGATTACAAAATGTGTGAGTATAATATATACAGATATGTAAAGAATGATGAAGTTTTAATCAAATGTGTATAAGGGCTTGTGAAAATGATGGCATTCAAATGAAAGTATGTATAAAAGTGAAGGAATAGAAAAAGAAAAATATGACACATACCATTTTTTTTACTTGAAAATTTGGTGTCATTCTTTAGGCCTTTTGGTGCAAATGGCACAATTAAATCAAGCAAGTTGAAAAGTGAAATGATACGTGTAAAAAGATGGATCAGATATATCTTGTCAAGGATAATTATTTTAATTATTGGGAATATGTAATATTATCAATGCTATGTTATTTTGAATTTTGGTTACTTTTCATATATATGCTATGATGTTTTGGGTAACAGTTTTGTAACTACTATCGATTTAATTTTTTTTTAAATAATTGTGAGAGGCCCCTCTTTACCCGAAATTCGGGCTTTGCCTCGGGCTTTGCCACTGCCACCTAATCCAAACCCCGACATCCACCCATCACAACCACTCCAGCTACTCTTTATAGGGGTGGGTTCGGTTCAAATCGGTTTGGTTTTTTGCCAAAACCGAAACCAAACCGAAATTTCGGTTCGGTTCATTTTTTTTCGGTTCGGTTTTTTCCGGTTCGGTTTCGGTTTTTTTTTTTTTAAAATGAAAAACATTGAAATTTTAAATTTTAACATATCCAACACATTCATAACATAAACATTATAACCAGAATCAAAGACAATGAAAATAAACATTTAAAGTTGAACTAAAATCATCAATCAAGTCTTTCAAAGTCCAAACTAACAACCTCACAACACAAAAATCGTACAAATGACTTAGAAAAGTTAAATTGTATGATGTTGTTCAAAGATCAGGGATGTTTGCTTGTAACTGCATGTTGACAACTTGATTAGTAAAAGTAATGCGTGGGTGGATTTATTTAGTGTGTGTTGGATTCTTTTCCATCACAAATTACCCAAGTAATCTACCCGAAATAAATGTTTATGGATTATGTTACATGTTATATGAGAGTAGATTTAGAAAAGAAAGCTGGGGCAGAAGTAGACAGTGCTATGGAGACGGATGTAGGTACTTCAGGAGGATATTTGGTTCCGGAACCTTATATGGGGGAGAAATAATAGGTTAGGGTTAAGAGTTTTTATAGGTCTTTTTTAATATTTTGAGCTTAAAGTTTGGCAACACATTGGGTTTAACACATTTTAACTTACAAATTGGGTTTAGAAAATAATACCCAAAACAAATAATTAAATAAAAAAAATTAATTTAATTAATTCGGTTCAGTTCGGTTTCTAAATCACTAAAACCGAACCGAACCAAAAGAATTCGGTTTAGTTCGATTTTTTCAATTCGGTTCGGTTTTTTCAGTCTCAATTCGGTTCGGTTTTCGGTTTTTTTCGGTTTTTGTTTTTTTGAACCCACCCCTAACTCTTTATCCTTTCATCGTCGCTCAAACCCCAATTCCTCTCTACCTGTCTCTGAACAACCTCGTTTTCTCTTCGATCTAGATCCGGATGGAAATCCATCACTAATCTCAATCATGACTTCCCCCGAACCTCTATACAATGTTGCTTAATTTATGGGACTAATCGAATCTGGCAAACAATTTTGGTCTGACTCCAAGTAATCGAGAAACGAAGGACCATCCGATCCCTAACCTCTTCCTCTACCACAAGGTCCCAGCCCACCCCAAGTAAAAGAGCTGACTTCATCTCTAACCGTGAAACGATCATACATGTCACGCCGCGGGAGAGTTGAGTGGAAGTCAGTGGGAGGGGAGAGTAAGGAAGAATATTATATTGGTTGAATGGATAGGTAGAGAGTGTGTGTGCGGTTCGGCAGAAAATGGGGAAAAGGGAGGGGAGGTGTGATGATGATGGGTAATAAAATAATGAAATATAGGATGATTGATGGGCAATAAAATAATGAAAAACTAATTATCTCTACTTGTAGAATTACATATGATATACGACCCGGTATTCCTAACAAGGGCAGACCAAACTTTTTGTTTAATAAGCTACAATACAAAATAATTAATGTATTGATGACACCATCCTATATTTGGCTTCTATTTAGAAGGGTTCGGCCATGCTACCATTAGGTCAGTGAACGACTTCTTGTAGAGTATTATTAATCGCGTGCATGCCTATATAAAGTCGGTAGAAGTGCATGGTTTATTCACTCCTATGCGAACCAATTTTATCAAACTCATACTATTGGTTGCATGAAATTAGCAGTAATGGCTACTACTTCTGCATCTTATTTCAGTGCTGCCTTTGTTTTCCTTGTTGCTTTGAATTTCCTCAGCTTTCAGGTCATTACTGCTTCTGGTCATGCACCCAACGACAGTGACTACCTAGGGTTTATGTTGAACTTGGAATATTTGGACGGTGAGTTTTACTCATACGGTGTTTTTGGCAATGACCTCGATAGTATCTCCCCAAACTTGTCCCAAGGGGGCCCGCGTCCTATTGGTGGTCAGAAGGCCAATCTCGACCCCCTTGTGACTGAAATAATCAAGGAATTTGCTTATGAACAAGTTGGTCATATCAGGTATAGAGTGCATGATCAACTGTTGTAAATTTTATTAATTCTGATTAACCCTAGATGGTAGATATAATATGTATCTGATTAATTTTCAGAGCAATCACTCAGGCAACAGGCGGGTTCCCAAGGCCTCTTATAAACATCAGCAGAGCCCTTTTCTCACTACTTGTTGACCTAGCAGTGGGTTACCCATTGCTCCCTCCATTTGACCCTTACGCAAACACAGTCAATTATCTTATAGCAGCGCAAGCACTGAATTATGATGGTGTAGTGGGTTATGTTTACATCAATGCAAACCTCAACACCGATGCTGCTAACAGAGTACGTATAATAAGAAATGTTTGTTAAAACAGTTCTTGTTAATAGTTAGTTAACAACATTTCTATCTATTAATAATTTTTTTCACAATTAATTAATTAACTATAACTTTTGGGTAACGTATGTAATTCAACATGCATGCAGTTGGGTGCATCGCTTTTGGGTACGAAGGCTGGACAAAATGCAGTGGTGCGTGCATTACTGTATGAGAGAGCGAATCAGACGGTGGCTCCGTACAATCTCACGGTGGCTAATATCGTCAGCCGAATTGCTGAATTTGGGAACAAGGTGGCCAAGGGTGGCCTCGAAGAAGGCATCATAGTACCCATCACGCTTGGGGCTGAGAATCGAACGGTCACGAATGTCCTATCAGCGGACACGAATTCGCTGTCCTATGCAAGGACGCCAGGAGAGATCTTGAGGATTCTGTATGGAACAGGAAATGAATGTGTGCCTGGCGGCTTTTTCCCTGCAAGAGCAAATGGCCAAATTGCAAGGACCTGCATTACTATATAAGCAAAAGCACAATAATCAAAGCTGTGGGTTTATACCCAATAATAAATAAACGCTGGTTCATGTAACTGCGTCCAAATGTATCCAACTAAATGCACACACGTATATATGTGTGTATTTAGAATTTAAGAGATGTATTCGACCATGAATCTTAATAAAAAAAAAATATATATAATGATATTAAATTAACAAGGTCTTGATTGATTATGTTTATTCAGCTCTCTTACTACACCGAATATAAGCTATTATAAGTACCCTTTTTCTTATTAAAAACTAGCATTTACCTACACACTTTGTGTGTATGTACACATTTTTTTAGAAAATGAGAAGGAGAGAGGAAGAGAGAGAGAACGTCCCCGAGTGGGAGATTTTTGTTTTTGGTTTTTGTTTTTATTTGTTTTTTTATTAATATTGGAGGTATTTTAACATCATTGTAGGTGAGACTTTAATAAAAAACAGTAAATTTAGACTTATGAAATTACATTATTTCCCATCATTTTTTTTTTTTGTGATAGAAGACTAATTTGTCTTTTTACCATCTTTTGGTTGACAAAGAGGGTTTTATTAATTAGTGGAGATTAGAATTCATCGCAATAGAGCTTTAGCAGCCAATATTGTTCCCTGCTCTTTTTGGCTGGATTCCTGTTTCAGTAAAGCTAATCTATTACGTTGTAGCCGTATGGCCAACCAGGCTCACAAAACAAAAGCATTAAGGGCGTGTTTACCACCAGAATGGAGGTAGAAGAAAAGGAATTGAATTCCTCTCCAAGTGATTCTGCCATTTACCAAATTTTGGGAATGAAAAAAATTAGTGAGCTCCACCCAAAATCAGTAATTGTATTCCTGATATCCCCGGAATCCAAACACTGACTTGAATGTGGTAATTGAATTCCAAAAGAAAGCCAACATCAGGAATCAAACTTCTCTACAGAAATTGCCTTACCCCTCCCATCTGCCTCCCACGATTCAACCACCAAAAGCACACCCATCCCCACCCTTAACTAACGCAGACCACCACACCACCTCCCACTGCCAAGACCTATCACCAACCTATCCGAACAATTTTACAAACAAACTCCGGACACCCCAGATCCAAATTCAGATGGAGAAAGAGAGATGCAGATGAGTATAGATAAAAGAAAAACCTTATGACTACCCACTGCGGATCGAATTTCTATTGCATACATTTTTACAGAGAGCATAACATAAAGCATTGAGCGGCTGGCAAATCGTTGAGAAATCCGAGAATGGCCAGAGGCAAGGAGTTCATGATTTACCGCCAAAATGAGATCTTCAGGCCGATAGAACCCAACAAGGTCAGGATGGGCAAGAGTTGGCGCTTAGGGATGATCGCAAAAACAATATGCGGATGCAAACAGGGAGAGTAGAAAGAGTTGTGGTGGAACCGTAGAGGTTCCCAAACCGTTCTCTTTTTTTTGTTGAGTATTTTTACTTCTTTTCCTTGTTGAATTAGGTTTTTACTCTTTAAGAAATAAAAAAAAAAGTTCAAGTTTTATTAAAAATAATTATATGAGAATTGTTAAGATTTTAGTAAAACTATATATGCGTGTGTGTGAAATTGTATTAAAAAGTTAAGATTTTTTCTATTATTAAGATTAAAGGGTATTTTAGTAATCATATTAATTTTTGTTCCGATTCAGGTGAACTGGTAAACAACTTATATCATTTCAACTCCAATTCTAGGACATTATAGTAAACAACTTTGACAGGAATTCGATTCGGACTCATTCCCATTCCAATTCCCCCTCAATTCAATTCCTCTTATTTTGATTACGGATTTGTAAACGAGCCATAAGACACCATATGCTTTAGTCTCATTTCATCCCATCCTAGTTTCACTTGCGGAACCACATTGTTCATAAATAAAGGGGTAATATGCTAAAGGAGATCACATATTATATCATATTAGAGTATCATCTTATGTGACAAATGATGGACATAATCAATATTTAGTGAGATAACTTCATTAATTGACACAACATTTACATGTTACTTCCTACATCAGCTAATACACTAACATAAAAGAGCTCTTTATTGAATCTATTCAAAATAAGTGTAGGACTCCTTGGAGGATTTGTGCTATTGTTGAGGACATTCACTGGCTAACCAACAACTTTACATCGATTTCATGTAACTACATCTACTGCGAAGCCAAAGTTCTTGAAAATGCTCTTACTAGTGTAGGCCATAAAATTCAGGGTATAAGGTTCTTTTGTCAAAAAGCTAGGCATGTTTTCATTTTTTTAATACAAGCCATATTTCTATTAATTATAAATTACTCTAAGAGGAGTTAGGAGAGTTTGAACCTGTGAACAACCACCCTAGATGCAATGCTTTCATTTTGATTTCATTGGACTTGGAGGCTCGTCTATGCAATGAAGTTCAATTTCCGTTCGAATAGAGAATAAACTTGGTAGAAAAACACGAAAAAAAATAGAACCCCACCCCTTCCCCACTCCCCCAAAAAGCGACATATCTGATGTCCCCATTTTGTTTCTTCATCTACAACTTTTTTGAACTTTTTGACATTTGTACTTTACCTTATATCATTTATTTAAAATAAATGAAAAAAAAAATTATAATCTGCCACTTAGTATTACAGTTTAGTAATATTACTCACCACTTATAAATGAGAGGTCTTAGATTCGAACCGAGGAGCCAGAAATTTTTTTATGGGTGGGTTAGCTAAAAAAAATTATCCTAAAATCAAGTGATATTTTTATGCTACATACGTATTGTATGCAAAAATTTAAGTCTAATTTTTGTATTTGTACACTAAAATTTGCTTGGCATAAACTCAATATGCTTCGCAATTGCAAACTACAAAAATTACAATAAATCATCCAATTTCACATATATTTAGATGCAAACACAAGATGATAGAAACTTGATACATGGACTATCTCAATTACAACCACACAACTAACACAAAACAAAACAGTGAAAGTAGAAGTAACAAAAAAAAATTGGTTGAAAATAATATAAATAAAGCCCACTGAATCAAAGCAGAATAATCTTGAACAAAATAACATTGCCACAAATCGTACCTGGGATATAGCCCACCGTAGCCTTTGGTGTTCTCTGCTAGTGGTACGAACCTTGTAGTTGGCATGTTCGATATCAATTTATTTCTCTCATCTGTTATGTGTAAATATAAACATGGCCAAACCTAGCCTATATATGAAGTTACCTATCGAGCAATGCTTAGAGCATCTCTAATGGAAGTCCCTATTTAGGGACTTCCACCACCATTTTTGAGTCATGGGTCTAAAAGACGCTAGGCGCTAGTTTGGCGGTGGGCTAAGGCCTAGTGCCTAGACGGCTAGGCAGAGACCTAGGCAGACTAAGCAGATTTAAGTAAATTTATTATATCGTATAAATAAGTGTCTATTTATACTTAAAAAAACACACACATATTTATATTGGATACATAAATTGTAAAATAAAATGACATATAATGAGTGTTAATCAAAGTATTCAACAAAGTCTCCTACATTTTATTGAAAAGTTAAAATGCAAAATGAAAGTTATCAATTTTCTGTCTAAGTCAGAGTCACGACCTAAGTGGGTGCCTAGGCGGGGTTAGGTGGACTAGGTGAACGCCTAAGCGGGTCTAGGTGCACTTGCTTAATTGTCAAACGCCTAGGGACTAATCAGGGAGGTGGGCAGCCGTCTAGTGCCTAGGCAGCGCCAGTCAGAGATTTTTATAACAATGCTTTTGAATACTCATTTAAGGACTTAAAGGGAATCTTTGAGTCCCTAAAGGAATATTGCCTCAATTGGGAGAGCCTTTATAGTAGAATCCCTAAATTTGAAGTTTTTATGATTTTATGTGGTAATTTGATTAGGTGCACATTTTTTGTTTATGTTAACCTTTTTTTAATTAATTAAAAGCATTAAAATCTTAAAGGTGGACATTTTTTTTGTTTATGTTACCTGTTTTTTAATTAATTAAAAACATTAAATGCATTAAAAGTTTTAATCAAGATTGTGGACCCTATTTTCCACTTAAGATTGTCCCTATACAATTCATATATGTGAGGACAAACATTATGTATCCAGTGAGTCGTTAAATGATTTAAGGACTCTTCCATTGGAGGCAATATGATAAGAGTTGTTAAATCATTTAACCTAACGAGATTAATTTAACAACTTCTATTCAAATGTGTCACTTACAAGTGCACTTTTAATATGCAAGAAAGCCTCCTTTTGAATTATTATCGCTCGCATTCCTATAAGTTTAGCAGAACTGCATGGTTCATTCACTCATACACGAACTGTTTTAGTAAACTCATACAATTGATTACATGAAATTAGCATCAATGGCTACCACTACAACTACATCTTATTTCAGTGTTACCTTTGTTTTCCTTGTTGCATTGGATCTCCTCAGCTTTCAGGTCCTGACTGCTTCAGTTTAACTTGAAGGGTGTTTATACCATATTTAGGGCCTCGTATTTAGACCTCGTATAAATACACGGAGGACTTAAATGTAATTATGTAATAAAGGAAGGGGCAAATATGTAATTAGGGGAGGAGCCCTTATTCTATAAAAGGGCCTCCTCACCCTCACAAAGAAAATGGGCCTCTTCACATCCCCTAAGCTCTAAGCTCTCTCTCTCCCTCCTTCTTCAGTAGAGAAATACAATACAATCAGTGTGGACGTAACCCAAACCTTGGGTGAACCACGATACATCTTGTATTATTTACATTACTTGCAGATTCACGGTCGGATTTACGTTATTCCAAGACCATCTGGTTTTGTGCATCAACATTTGGCGCCGTCTGTGGGAAACGACACAAAAAGTTATGTCGGTTCTTTCTTAATTTTTCACCTCCACCGTAGATCTGTAAAATCCAAGAGACAACCAAAACTCTCTCTGCCAACATCAAAAGCCAACATCTCAAATTGTTGATTGATTCAAACGCCCCAACTAAAACATGAAAATTCACCAAAACATTTTTCAGTTTTTATGACGATTTCAGATCCCAGTCCAAGTGTTTGATTTAGTATTGGGATTTGAAAATGGCAGCAAGACAAATGGAAGAGATACAGAGGAAGCTGGCGCTGCTAAATCATCCTAGGGCCACTGCAGTTGCTCGGTCTCTCATTTTCGCTGGCATGGAGCCCTACGCCCTTCTCGAGTGGCTCTTCTTCGGCCTGCTGGGGG